TATATATATATATATACGCAGTCACGTACCGTGAAAATGGGATCTTTCGAGTCTTGTTTGCGTTTTCGGCTATTTTAAGGGAGACAAGCCGCGACGTGGCCCAAGCTAATTTCGTAATCAAAGCGCAAAACGTGAGAGATACTTACAGACAAACATAAATTACTCTCAGAAATGTTCGCGTTTCGACGCGAGATGGCATGTTATTTTTTTGCGCACTTTGCGAGATACTTTGCGAATCGTTTTAACCCTTAACTGGAGTCGTGAAAAAATGTCACACTTCTAATGTCGTGGATCTCTTATTACTCAAAGATTATTTTTCAAAGGTTAAAAAATGAACTGATTAATCTTGAAAACACTTTTATTATATCTTTTAATGTTTAGATCCTTATTTACCTGTTTCAAAACTAATGTAATAAGCATTGTAATCAGCATTGTATTAATCCTCATTTAAAGTACCTACAGTTAATAAATTTTCTACTAACAAGGAAACTTATGGAAGTGTCTCTCTCCAATTTTGATGAGCTTTGAAATTAATTAAATTAATTAATTAATTAATATGTTATTTTTTAGAAAAAAAGTAAACGTATTTTTTTATTAAGGTCCAATTGTACTTTTATGTTTGCAATACCTTTTTGAAGAAAATTGTCGAAATTGTAAGAGATAGAAAAAAATGTTCGAAATAAAAGTTGAATGGTTTTAAAAACATTTAATAATTATAATTAAAAAACTTTTTCAATTTTTATTTTTTATAAATAAAATTTTTTTATTAAAACAATTTTTTTAAAATTATAATTATAAAGTACTTTTTAAATCGTTCAACCTTTCAGAACATTTTATTCTATCCTCTTTTACAGTTTCGACGATACTCGAAAAAATTTTCTTCAAAATATTATACTTTCTAACAGTGTGATTGGACCCTTATACAAAGATACTTGTGTCTTATTTTTGTCTAGAAAACAACATATTCAAAGCTCACTAAAATCTCAGGGAGTTACTTCCATGGGTTTTTTCTTGTGAGTAAAATTTTTCTTGCAAGCAAAATTTTCTTGTGAATAAAATTTGATATGGATCTAATGGACCCACGTCGCCAGTTGAGTTAATCGTTCACGATTTAAGAAAGAGACTGTGCCAAGAAACACATAAGTCTTGTTCCTTTTCCATAGGGCATTTCCTCGGGCGTTATGGTGGAAGGAAATTGTCAGGGTGCAGAGAAAGAGCTACCGCAATGCAGGCAAGGGCGTTGTCAGGGGCGACCCTAGCGACCCTAAAGCCTCATTCGCACTGAATGTGCCGATACGTTTGCGGAACAACACCCGTGTGTCCGATCGGTCTTTCGATTTCGATTCGATGTGTCGGCCATGCAGACATACCATAGTTCGTCCGACCGGTCATTCGGATTTGTGCGCTCGTCATTTGTCGACCGCACGCTGGTGTGATGTAAAACCGCTCTCGATTCACACATTCACAGCGAATTTCGTAATAAGCCGCAGAACTTGATGGACCATGATACCACTAATACCACAGCAAAATATCCTTTTAATTTCCTGTGACTCGGTTTCACTAATATAAAACTAACTTTAATTTCGATTTAATCAACTATTTATTAAATAAAGTATCTTTTAAGATTGTAATGTGAATATACAAGAAAATAAAAACTCTAATAGTGAAGCTGGGTCTTTGGTGAATTTGTACCACCATATCTAATGCAAACTGTGCCGAATTTAATTTTTAATCTTGAAACATAATTTTAACAGGTAATAATATTTAAAATAATAATAATTACAATAATTTACAATTTAATAATATTGATGCTGATTAATAGTCTGATACTGATAAGCATCCTAAAATTAGAAACAGATAAAGAGTAAATTAAATGAAAATTATATAAAATTAATCATAAAATTAATCTAGTTTAATCGAGCCTATAACGTCCAAATTTACGAAAGTTTGTTCGTGCAATTGTATCTTTTACATTCAAAATCATATGCTTTCTCTTTTTCCATTATTCGAATATGTATTATCTTTATCTCTTTATTTTAAGCACAATTTTTGAAGACAAGTAAAACGGACTAAACGTCAATTAATGTTAATGTCAATTAAAATTAAAAATTCCATGTTTTTTTGAAACATTTGAGTCACGATTTAATTTGCTTATACATTTCCATCCTATTTCAACATTGTTATTTTCTTTTTTTCTACCGACTCATATTTGCAATTTAGAATTGTAAAAGTTTTTCTCTATAATCCAGATATCTCTCTTGGTGACAGGCTTATCGGATAATAGAACGCGCGACGTAATCCCGTTAATTCCTCGTTATGCAAATGGCGGGACACTCGATTGCGTAATTGTGTTGACCTTCAGTTGAACTGCATCTATATTGCCGGGAGAAATTTGGAGGCATAGATTTCAAAATTCCTCCACGTACACTATAAGTCTTTTAGTTTTAGCTGCACTTTCTGCAATTACCTTGAATCTTTTTGTTCCTCCTCCGTCCTTCCATTCTTCTTTTAAGCTCCGAGTATTCGTCTTGTTTCGCTTTAAATGCAGGAAGCGTAAGAAAATGGAGCTGAAAAGAGCACACTTCACGTTCATCGTTTAAGTTAATTAGGAAAACTAAATTATATATACGCTAAAACGAAAACGCGAGATGGTTACTAATCCAGGCGTTGCTTACATCTACATCGATATTGTGTTTAGAACGGATCTCGAGAAATCTGAAGCTCATATTATCAATATTCATGATATCGATCAAGATTTGATGTAAATATCTAATCGATTAATTGTCCTTCCATGCGTCCCGCCCTTTCGCGAATCGATGTGAAAGGATAGTCATTAACCGACCATGCATAGTGGTGTCGAATTATATCAAGCGCCAAATCAAGCTCACCGTGGGACTCGTGGGGGAACTGCTCTCTGTATTTACTCGTCCCATTAACGCCGGATTAGTATGTGAAACGTAAACGCGCGCGTAAAATAGAGACGAGTTAACCGAATTACCATAAATCGATGCTATGCCATGCCTTTACCGCGTGCTCGCTCTTGCGCCTGCGGCAACATCAACGGCAACAGCATCCGGATGCACAATGGTTGATGATGCCTTGTCGGTGTCCATTGTATCCGATGGACATCCCACGATCCGTTAATTCATCGCAGATTTACTTTAACCGTCTCAGCTTGCGCAATAGTTAGATAAAGACGAAGATTTAGAAAATTAAGGTCATGTCAACGTGTTATTTTAGCCAGTCTGATATGACTAGAGAAAATAGTGGAATAATGAGGTTTACTTATTCCGTTACAGGTCGATTTGAAACCCTTGCGAGAGGCAGCGGTGGCGGTTCCCGCGCCGAAAATTACCGAGAAGCGAAAAGCTGAAGATGCCGATGCCAGTAAGGATCTAAAGAAGGTAAATATATTCGGCTTGTTTACGCTGATTGTTTAAAGAACGCTTTAATAAATTACATCATTACGCGACTGCGGTATTAAAGATTGGTTTTAAAATGAGATTGAAGATATCTATGCGTCAAGGATACTATCAAATTACGAGTTACTTCAGTATTTAGTATCTCTAAGCTTTACTGGCTTCTTTAGAAACAATTAGCCGAGCAAGCTCGTTGTTTGTTGTTTTATGTGCTGGAACGATTTTGCCAGGGCTTTCTACATCGAAATTGCCAGGGCTTTCTACATCGACCATTTTTGACGCATCGCTATCCGTTCCATCGTTCCATATGTCCGTCGTTCCGTATGTTTCCCGAATCGTATCATTGCACCGTGTACGGTGTTATCGAGGATCACTGAGTGATTCTCGCATCGGTTAATGCCACGTTATGCGGCTGTGCTGTTAGCGAGGGGACCGGTATGGATGTCCATTTCCAAGCCCTCGTAACTCACCGAGGGCCGACTGACATTGCGAGAGAGGGAAACATCGCGGGTTAGAGTTAGGAGCAGATCACGTGTATCTATATCCCATTGCACCATCTATTCGCTGTCGCGTATCTCTGTCGTCCTCGTCGATATTCAGCGCGTCGTGAGGCACGGCCTCATTAGTCTACCCGCCCATTCGTTCCCTCATTAACGAAATAAACGCGGTCGAGAGGCGGCGAGTCCGGTTGAGCTTTGAGAAACCCGAGTTGTCGGTAGTCACTGTTGCAAGAAGCCACTGATGGCCTTTGGCGTTTAGCTATATGCGGATTACAAGTCTGTTCTTCGATGTGGCGAAAGTTAATGATGTTGCCATAATAGTGATAGAATAGATAGAAATATAATGTGGTATACAAAAAAGACATTGAAGAACGATATTTCTCTCAATATAATATTTATTACACAATTACTGCCCAAAGTCTCGATAATAGTGAAGACATCTGCACGAAATATGAGATATCCGAGTTTGAATTTCAGCTGAGGTAGTATTTTAATAAATTAAATTATTTATAGTTTTTATATTAATTAAATTATTTATATTTATAGTTATTTATAGTTCTTAAGATCTGCTTAGATTAACATTAAATTCAATATTCTTTTAAAATGCTTATCAGCATCAAAAATTATTAAATTGCAATTTAATATGATATTACTCTAGTTCTGTTCATAATTGCGTTTCAAAATCGAAAAAGATTTCGACATACTATTTGCAAAATTGGATATGTATTATATATATAAATTCACTATAAAGCACCAAGATCTGCTTTGATAAAAAATAGATTTATTTCTCTTAATTGATAAAGAAGACCTATATTTTATTCTTATAGATTTATCTTTGTTATATTTTAGCTTTAACGTAAATTACAAGTTTGCTTTCTGATGCAGCGAAAGTTAATGACGTTGTCGTAACAGTCGCGATAGAATAGTATGTGATATAAAAAAAAAACTTTCCTCACTTTATTCTTGTAGACTCATCTTCGTCGTAGAAAATCGCCAAGAAGATTGCGCGTTATGCAATCTTTTTTTTTTCATGAGAATTACTTCGCGGAACAGTGATCGTTACATTGCACCTAATATATTATACGTTAATAGTTTTAATGGCGCATTCGTTCGATCTAGCGGAAAATGTCCAATCGACCGGCCATAATGACCAGAAACATCATGGATAAAAATAGTTAAATAAATATTTTTTCGATGCATCTCGATGAAAGAGATACGCTGCGATTTATTCCCGCTCCGTCTTTCCCCTCCATAATTTGCCTGCGATTAACCCTTGTGATTACCGGGCTGTTTATTTTTTCTTACGCTCAAGCAGTAATAGTTTACAGTTTCGCTTCGAGCTAAGATAGCTAGGAAATTAATTGCCCAAGGCAGGCGCTTAGGAGTCTTGAGCGAGTACTCTGGCCAAGCAATAGCTCTTTAATCCACTATTGATCTAAGTAAACCCAAAGTTTCGAAGACATGTTTTAAACTCGCATTCGGCATTGTTTTCTCCTCCATTTTAATGCTCGATTTTTTTATTTGCTAGTTAACTGTAATTAGGCTTAATCTGATGTTAATATAAAAATTATATTTTTCTATCTATAATTTATCACTAAATTGATTTGTAGTGAATAACTTTTAGGCTCGGTTTTTCGTTATCCGTTAAATGCCCGTTTCTACTAACACAGTTTAATGTTAATCTCGATTTAAAACTCAATCATCAACTTTTCAAGATTTAAAAATTTGAACCGAGATTAAAATTGGTAGGAACGGGCATAACTTGTGGTCTTTAGACTTTACCTCACTTCATAATGTGATAAGTATATTTTTCTAACTATGAGAGATTAATTACTGAAAATTTTATAGCTTTAAAAGTTATTCACTACAAAACTACCAGCTTAGTAATTAATCATTAGATAGAAAAGTGCAATTTTTACATTACCATTAGATTAAGCCTAATCGTAAGTTAACCAGCAAATGAAGAACCGAACCTTAAAGTTACCACTAGAAAATTAGTTTAGTGATTAATCAGCTAGAAAATTACAATTTTTGCATTATCATCAAGTAAAATGAAGTTAGTCTAAATCGTAAGTTAACCAGATAATGAAAAACTTAACTGCTTGAAAATACATATCTCGCCGTGTATTATTCCAGCGGAACTTTCACGGAGAAACCGAGCGAGAATCGCGCATGAAACGATAGATGAGTAAGCAATAAGAAAAGAGGAATTATTCAACATGCGTTCCCTCCGTCTCTCGATCATTCGTGACCAATTGATTCCAATTGATTCCAGCGCAACGGTTGAAACAAAATCACCGTCTTAACGGAAATGTCGCACTGCAAGCAATCCGTGTACAGCAACAGGCGGCGACAAGCCGTGCCAGAGATTCGAGGCGAAATGTTTGTGTGCGTATGTATGTGCATTTGCGCTGGATAGTCGTTCTCCATTTCGTTGCTCTTTTTGTTCGTTGTGACCCAACGTTGAGAAAGTACATTACGCTGAATGTCGCAGCTACTATACGACGTCACCTTTTGCGCGGATTTACTCCTTTTCCTCATACTCTGTCTTGTGCTTCGCACAAGGGGTCGCGGAACTCTTTGCGCGTCACGATGAAAGAAACGCTCTTGGTAAGGTAGACGATATGTTACACCTAGGCGTGCGAAAGTAATTTATCTCGGCGAGTCCCTGAGTGCAGCGACGACTCTCTCTCTCTCTCTCTCTCTCTCTCTCCTATTCCAACGCATCGTAAATTAGCCTCAAGAATACGCATGCGATGACAAATTATTGCGCGCGAGCGACTCGATGATGAAGTAAGATATCTCGTGTGCGGCTTAAAGGGCTATCTACAATGAGAGTAATATGATGTAGTAAGTCATAAGCCGTAAGAAATGTATCCATATTGTTAGATCAAGAGGGCAATAGTAACCTAACCCTTGAGTAAAATAACATTTTGTTATATTTAACTTCTGTGTCAAAATCTAAATCAATCCATTTCTGTGATTAATCTCAAAGTAAACATCGTTCATATTTACGTATTCTGCAAAATCTATAGAGTGGAATCTAATTCTAAAAAGTGACAAGGAATAATTGAGCCAGTGTTAAAAAATATTGGCTCAATTGTCAATTTTTAAGAGTGAGATTTTACTTTTTAGAGAATATGAATTTAATAAATAACAAACTAAATTGTATATAATTTGAGTTAAACTTAATACATTTTCTTGCTTAACCTCATTGTTTTAGTCAAATTAATGACATATTGATCTCAATAAGGAATTTCATTCTTTTTTGTCTCGTTTCTATACGTTTCTAATCATCTCTATCTTTTCCTCTTCATTGTATAACCAATTTCAGTCTGTCTTATTTTATGTTATATTTTAAAAATATTTCAATTATTATTTAATATTATTATTTAATGATGTTCGTTCTTTCATATTTAACTTTCACATTCAGCAACTTCTCTCTACATAACTTCTCATTTTTAATATAATATTAGTATGTTTAATATAATATTATTACATTTAATATAATATTATTACGTTTAATATAATATTAGTACTTTATATCTTATTTTTCTTTCATTTTCTCATACTTTTGTTTTTCATTATATTGTGGTATTATAATAGCAAAACTCGTTATTCACTGTTATATAGTTGTTTATTTTTGTTATAAAACCTTATCAAGGTTTAAATGTATATAAACAACTTTGCCTCATCTTTTGGGATGCCGCTCTAAAATTACATTAGGTACCATGTCTGTAAACTTATATTTTTTGGCACGTCAATAAAGTTTATTATTATTATTATTATTGAGTAGAAGCGATTTATAGATGTAATTTATAAAAATATATAATTTATAAAAATAATTCAAATTCAGTATAATTTGACATTATGAACTTAAAAGTGTATTACAGTCGAATGTGAAAAGAATAATAAAATTACTATTGGTTAGTTTCTTACAACTTACTATTTGATATACATAATATTATCCTCATTATAGACAAATTATAAGAGATAATTAAGTTTCTCATTATTTTATGGTTGTTACTTTAAATCTTATCGTGAGAAGATGATCATGTTGTCTCATTGTAAGCAGGGAATGAGCATGTCATCTTGTACAGTGCGCGTGTTACGCGAATGTATACACGCGCGAAAGGCAGATGCAGCGTTCGAATGCGGTAGAATTTGCTATGTCCGAAATGGGAATGCACACGCACGCGGGTCACCGCCTGGCATGTCTCTCTTTGTCATCCTCCTCTGTGCATTCCACGCGGCTGCGTTTGTACATTCGATATTACAGCACGTGATATTCCGTTTGCAAGGTCCTCCCCCGCATAAATCCGCCGACGAAAATATATATCTTGGCTGTCTCGTGCTTGGAGCAGGAGGAGGGTTTGCGTTCTCTACGAGGAGGACTACGATATAGGAGGCCTAAGATGAAGGGCGAGCTTAAATGGAACGCGCGAGATAGTGAGAGATGGAGGAAGGGAAGCTTTGGTACTTCGA